TAGAAACACAAAACCTACCAAAACTGTATTATGAAGAAATTAAAAAAAATATGAATAGACATATAATTAGGTTATCAAATTACTAATCAAAAATTTTTCAACAAAAGTGGTGAATTCTACCAAACATTTAAAGAGGAACTAATTACAGTCTCTCAAACTTTTCCAAAAAATTGAGGAGGGACCCACGTCCTAACTTATTCTATAAGGCCAGCATAACTCTGGTACCAATGCCAAAGACATTATGCGAACACCACAGACCAATACCCCTTATTTACACTGATGCAGAAATCCTCAAAAAAAAATGCTATCAAACAGAATCCAGCATGTTAAAAGGGTTACAAACCATGATAAAGTGGGGGTATATTCCTGGAATGCAAGGATGGTTTAACTTAAAAAATTGAGCACTTTCATGTGTCATATCAACAGAATGTAGGATAAAAAATACATGATACCTCAATTGATGCAGAAAAAGCATTTGACAAAATTCAGCACCCTTTCATGACAAAAACAATTAATGTAGGAAGGAAACTACCTCAACATTATAAAAGCTGTATATGAGGAACTCACAGTGAACATCATACTCAGTGGTGAAAGACTGAAAGCATTTCCTCTACAATGAGGAACAAGGCAAATGCCCACTTTTACTACTTCTATTCAACGCATTATTGGATGTTCAAGCCATACCAATTAGCCAAGAAAAAGAAGAGATATCTAAATAGAAAAAGAATAAGTCATATTATCTCTTTTTATAGATAATATGGTCTTAATATGTAGAATGTCCTAGGGATTCCACACACAAACAAATGGTTACAACTAATAAATGAATTCAGTACAGGGTACAAAGAAATCAGAACTATTTCTAAGTGTAAACAATGAATAGTTGAAATTACAAAAAATTCTGTTCACCATAGTGTCAAGAAAAATACTTAGGAATTCCTAAGCAAGGAAGTTAAAAACTTATACAATGAAAATACGACACATTGCTGAAAGAAATTAAGATACATAAATAAGTGAAAACACATCCCACGTTCATGGATTGGAAGACAATATTATTAAAATGTTGCTTTTACCCAAAGCTATCTACACATTCAGTACATTGCATATCAAAATCCCTGTGATTTTTTTTTTTAAAGATTTACTTATTTTAGGGAGAGGGAGAACAAGCAGAAGGGGTAGAAGGAGAGGATCTCAAGCAGACTCCGTGCTGAACACGGAGCCGAACATGGGACTTGGTCTCAGCCTGAGGTTACGACCTGAGCTGAAACCAAGAGTCGGCCACTTAACCAGTTACGCTATCCTGGTGCCCCAGTGATGGTTTTTGTTTGTTTGGTTGTGTTTTTTTGCAGATAGAAAAACCCCTCCTAAAATTCATACAGAATCTCAAAGGACCCCAAACAGCCAAAATAATCTTGAAAAAACAGAACTGGAGGCCCACAGTTCCTAATCTCAAAACATAACTGCAAATCTGCAGTAATGTAAACAGCATGGGATGGGCATGAAGACAGATATATAGCCCAGGAGGATAGAAAAGAGAACGCAGAAATAAACCATCACATAGACGGTTAAATGGTTTTTAACAAGGGTAACAAGATCCTTTCCCCTGTGGGGGAAAGAAAAGTCTTTTCAACAAATGGTGCTGGGAAAACTGGATATCTACATGTGAAAGAATGAAGTTGGATCCTCATTAAACACCATATTCAAAAATTCAAAATGGATCAATGACCTAAATGTAAGACCTAAAATAATTATTGACTATAAATAAAGCGAGAAACTTAAGCTCAAGGAGTTAAGTTTATTCAGGAATAGCAGAGGAACTGCAGTTTGGAACAAGCAAACTGTAGCATGCTACAGGTGGGTCCATTGAAGATTTTTGGTAGGTTGTATTTATGGGCAGGGAATGGAAAGAGGGGAGAGTTCAGTTAGAGTCCGCTAAAATCAAAAACAGGAAACCAGCCTTGAAAATTTTCCCGAGCAAACGAAATCCTCCCTGTCACACAAACAAAGCTCAAGTCATCCCATTATGTGAGATCAATCCAATTTGAGCCATGTTCCATTCATGCCTCTGGCAGAACTTTCCAAGGTCAACATAGGACAACCTCTGATCATCCTCCCACCCAAGAAAATTTCAACACTATCCACTTTCTGTAAATCGGACATTTCAGAGGACTCAGTCTTTTAGTCCTTAGGTTTACCATCCTGGGGGCACATATGTGAGATTCTCCATCTTGTATTCTCCGGCTCTGTTTTAGATTGAAGTTCTTTCACACAACAAAACCATTAAAAGAAAACACATGACTAAAGCTTTACAACATTGGATTTGGCAATGATTTCTTGGATAGGACACCAAAGACACAGGTTACAAAAGAAAAAATAGATTGAGCTTAATGGAAATTTTAAAATTTTGTGACTCAGAAGACACTGTCTATAGTAAAAAGGCAACCCACAGAATGGGAGAAAATACTTGCAAATCATGTATCTGAGAAAGGATTAATAACCGTACTAATATAGAGAACTCCTAAAACTCAACAACAAAATCAATACCCTAATTCAAAAATAGGCAAAGGACTTGAATAGACATTTCTGCAAAGAGGATAGATGGTTACTGAGCACATGAAAAGATGCTGAACATCACTCATCATTAGGGAAATGCAAATCAGAACTACAGTGAGATACCTCCTTACATGCATTCGTGTGGCTACTATCAAAAAAGAAAACAGAATCACTAAATTCTCCTGAAACTAATATTACACTATGTATTAACTAAGTACTTAACTAGAATGTAAATAAAAACTTGAAACATTAAAAAAAGAGAGGAAAAAATAAAACAGTAAAACAGAAAACAGAGTTGGAAGGGATGTGGGAAAATTGGAACCCTTATGCTGTATGGGTGGGCATAAAAAATGGTACAGCCACTGAGGAAAACAGTATGGTAGTTCCTCAAAAATTAAAAATAGAATTACCATATGATCCATCAATTCCACTTCTGGGTATACAGCAAAAAGAATTGAAAGCAGGACCTTGAGGCGATATGTGTGCACTTACGTCTTAGTGCACAGTAGTTTAAACATGGAAGCAGTCCAAGTGTCCATGGCCAGATGCATGGACAAACAAAATGTGGTATAAATACAAAGTTAATATTATTCTGCTTTAAAAAGAAAAGAAAAGAAATACTCTATGATTCCGCTTATGTGAGGTATGTAGTCAAAATTATAATGACTGGGAGGGAGGAGAAAATGGGGAGTTTAGTGGTATAGAATTTCAGTTTTATAAGATGAAAAGAGATGGGGATAGATGGTGGTGATGGTTGTACAACAAGGTGGAATGTATTTAATACCACTGAATTGTACACTTATAAATAGTTAAGCCAGTAGATTTTATATGAAATCTGCTTTACCACAATGAAAAAATTTTTTAGAAAATATTACAAGTTCTTCTCATATCATCTGTCCTATGTTCCAGTCTGTTCTTCACGCCACCACCAAATTAATCTTTCTAATACTGCTTTGTTTATATCATTTCTGTGCTCAACAATTTCTCTTGGCCTCTGGTGTCTACCATTTGTCCATATCTCCCACTGTTGTCAAAATCATCCTCTGTGTTAGCTAAACTAAGTACTTAACTAATTACTTAACTTTTTCCCAAACCCATCTAGGACCTTTTGATGCATGATACACTTGCTATTCCTACCTTTAATGTTCTTTCCTCCTTTTTCCCTTTCCTCTCCTAATGTGTAAATCTTTTTAAGGACCTACATAAATTTGAACTCCCCTAGGAAATATTTCTTAATTGCCCCACTTATGGTGGCTTCTCTTTCTTTTAAAGACCTATGATATTTATGGTTTAATTCATTTAGTAACTGGCTAAATGGTTGATGTTTGTTCGGGTTTACCTATCTCATTTCCCCAAATGTCTCCAAACTTAGTGGGCTCAAAGCTATATCTTAAAATTATTTGTAATACCCATTTGACCATAAAATGAATTGACTTATTGCTATTTTGTGAAAATAATCACTAAAGGTGCTGTTTAGTGAATTCCAGACCTATTTTTCAAGAGTCACAAGCATCTGGTGATGTTTATGCAGAAGATACACTGGGTATTCTGATTCGGTCCTAGCCCTTGTTAAATTTTTCTAGAGCAATTAAATGTGGTACCAGTAAAGTTGTCTGGCTGTCAGGGTAACTTTGTATATATTTATAGCCAATAAAATAATTTTGCGAAATTTAGAATCTTAATTTGTTTTGCTGTAATACTATATCATATTAGTATTTGGGTACTGATACTTATCTTTTATTCATGTGCTAGGTTAAATACAGTTAGTTATGGAAATGCCTCACTAGGTCACGGTTGTAATGCTTGTAAAGATTTTGTTTTGTTTTTAAGTCAGCAATTCTTTGTTACTTTACTGTTGTACTGCATTTTCCCTATATGGAAATCAAGTTTTATGTCTTTGTTTAATAGTAAATAGTTTACACAAAAGTTTCTGTTTTGTGTGTGTGCATTTATACACACACATATGCCTTGTCTAGGGTTGTAAGTAGGCTATTGAAGTAGTAAAGGAAACGTATTGCTCTTAAAAACCTGTAGAGAACATTTGAGTGACTTTTATGCCCTCTGTTAAACACCTGGAAAAATAGGTGAGTGTTATGTCAAGAATTTTAATGAGGAATGTGTTTATTGTGTGCACAAAACTGAATAATGGATTAAATTTTTGACCTACTACAATAGTACTCCTATTAAGCAGTACCTTCTTTTTTTCATAAGTTATTGTTTCACCCACTGTTTTTGGAGAATCTCATTAGAACTTAAGTTGCTCAAGGGTAGGGATTTGATCTTATATTTCTTTGTATCCTCAACATCTCAGTTGATATCTTTATATCATAGTGTACCAACAAATGTTAAGATAATAAAATGTCTATTTTTCTGGCTTTTGGGGAGTTTGTTTTTATTGTGTGAGAATGACTTTACTCTGATTTTACTTGATGTGTTTTTTCTTTTTACAGCCCCATTGACAAACCTTCAGATTCTCTCAGTATAGGGAATGGTGATAATTCCCAGCAGGTAAGATTTTGATTCTGTATCGCTTCATTTATCTTCCATTCCCTGAAATGGCATTCTATCCAAGTGAATTTTCTGGGTAGTAGAAGATACTTTAAATACGGAAACAATTTAAAAATACTGTTGGTGGATATCTTTTAAAGATCTATTACAATTAGTCTTCCTTTCTTCCACAGAATATTCTGTATTAGAGTATAATTTTAACCCTTTCTTGATGACTCAGAATTATCCTTATGACCACATGTTATATTGTACTGTGTGGCAATATATTAGTGTCCTAAGAATCTGCTGATGCTATTGGTCTTTTTGACCCTACTTCAAAATGGTCTCAGACTAGCATGCCTTCTTCATTCTTGATTTTAAGAGTTGTTTCTCTGCTATGTGCTCCCCTCGTTGCTTGTTGTCAACTTTAATTTTCTGTTTCTCACAGTGTCCTTGCCCCCAGCAGTTTTCCCTTTCCCCCAAACGACTGTGGGCTTTGAAATAATAAACCAAATAGTTCAAAGTTGTATCCGCATTGATACTGAGTGAGGTTCTGATCTTTCTATACTGCTTTGTATCATCTTGTCTAGGTGCTAGTTTTTCACTGCGTAATTTTCTGTACACCTTCTTATATTGGTACAGAAAAATATAGTCTAATCTGTTCCATAAAGAATGGCCAGTTCCCCACAATGTTTGTGAGAAACTTAGAGATCTAAAAAAGACTGCTTTTCCAGAATTTTTACTCACAGGTTCCATAAAAGAATTTGAAAATCAGTATATCCTTTGTATGTCTTAGGTTAACATTAAAGATTTTTTTCATGTTAACTTAAGAATCATTGTAAAGGATATAATTTTCAGGATATTGTTAATATTGGTATTTTTAAATAAAAGCACTACATTGCTTTTTAATAAATATCTAAGAGATTCAAATATTACAATATTTTGTTGCTCTGTCATTCATTTTTAAAAAATACACACTTTTTTGTAAACATCAAATTTTATATCATTCTGTGTTCTTCTTGAACTCATTCTTCTACTTCTGCTATTACAGAATTTTATCTTAATACAATATAGTTTATTCTTGACAGGCATATACCTCTCTCTAAAATAGATACAAATTTTCAATTGGAAACTATTTTTTTTCTGACACAAGGCTTTAAATGCCAGTTTTCTTTCTTTTTAAAAATTTTGTAAAGATTTATTTACTTACTTGAGAGAGAGAGAAACTTAAGCAGACTCCCCCTGAGTGCAGAGCCCATTGTGGGGCTCAGTCTCAGGACCCTGAGATCATGACCTGAGCCCAAACCAAGGGTCAGAGCTTAACTGACTGCCCCACCCAGGTGTCCCCCAACTTTCTTTCTTCTGAATTTTTACTCATAGTTTTGATTTGATCAAAGCAACTTATATAAATACAGATTTTTGATAAAAATTATTAAACACAAACTCTAAAATTATATTAGAAATTTATTTCTTAATGAAATATTGACAGGGCTATTTTAAAATTGGTTTTCATGGGGCACCTAGGTGGCTCAGTTGGTTAAGCATCTGCCTTCAGCTCAGGTCATGATCCCAGAGTCCTGGGATCAAGGCCTGCGTTAGGGTCCCTGCTCAGCAGGAAGTCTGCTTCTCCCTCTCCCTCTGCCCCATTCTACTTGTGCACAAGCGTGTGTGCTCTCTCAAATAAATAAATAAAATCTTTAAAAATATATAAATAAATAAATAAAATTGGCTTTCATGTATCCATGGATGAATATTACCTGTTGGTACAAGGAGACAAGTTTCAACAGCAATGTTAGTCATGTTTTCATTTTTGTAAATGTCAGTGCTGAGGATGGAAGAAAGAGTATTGTCTCAGTATCAAATTTTTGAACTCCTTCTAAGTTAAATACCTAAGAATAATATAAAGATTTATTACAAAAATTATTTTTAATGATGTGTTTAGAAATAACGTGATTAAATCTTCTTTCCATTTTGTTTAAAACTTAAGTATTGGGGCCTGGATGGCTCAGTCGGTTGAGTGTCTGCCTTTGGCTTAGGTCATAATCCCGGAGTCCTGGGATCGAGCCCAGAGTCAGGCTCCCTGCTCGGTGGGGAGCCTGGTTCTCCCTCTGCCTGCTGTTTCCCCTGCTTGTGCTCTCTCTCTCTCCCCCTGACAAATAAATAAATAAAATATAAAAAAAAAAACAAACTTAAGTATTGGGAATCATCTAGTTTGCAAAACAATCTAGTCATTAGTCACTCTCATCACCAACCTGAATATTTTTTTTTTAAGATTTTATTTATTTACTGGAGAGAGAATGTGAGTGAGAGAGCATAAGAAGAGAAGCAGCAGAGGGAGAGGGAGAAGCAGACTCCCCACTGAGCAGGGAGCCCGACTCGGGGCTCGATCTCAGGACCCTGAGATCATGACCTGAGCCAAAGGCAGCCGCTTAGCTGACTGAGCCACCCAGGCGCCCCCAGTCTGAATATTCTAATAATATTTTTGTTGCTCTCATAAAGTTTTCACTCTTGGTCAAATTACTATAGTTAGATCCCAAAGAGTGAGCAATAGTTTGTAAAGTGAGAGAAGATAGGTTCTGAAAGGAGAGGAGACTGGCTTAGTCTTTTCAAGAAGGAATCAGTTTTAGAAAAGAATACATATGTAATTGATGGATTTTTAAAAAATTCATGTTCTCATAAAGGAGTCTTTAAGCACCCCAGTTTGAAGACCACTGTTCTAATGCCTTTTGTTGCAAGCCTTTCTGATGGTGGCTTATTAAAGTGTATAAACTTCTATTGATTATTCTTTTCTTATTTTATTTAGATATCTAACAGTGATACGCCTTCACCACCACCTGGTTTATCAAAATCCAATCCAGTCATCCCCATCAGTTCATCCAATCACAGTGCACGGTCTCCTTTTGAAGGGGCAGTAACTGAGTCACAGTCGTTGTTCTCAGATAACTTTCGCCATCCCAACCCGATCCCAAGTGGGCTTCCTCCTTTCCCCAGCTCCCCACAGACATCCAGTGACTGGCCTACAGCACCAGAGCCACAGAGTCTCTTCACATCAGGTATACAACAATACTACTGCATGTTAATAATTTTACTCAGGCTGAAATGAGACCTTGCTTAATGTGTTTTTACCCCTTTAAGCACCCCCACTCCCTTTTTCATAAAGTTGTAAACATTTAAAGAGCATGGAGTGGGATGGTTAGATAAGTAGCTGTATGACTTAGGACTTAATGTGTTAACAGATTTCTCCAGAAATCAAGGGTTAGATCATTTTTCTGATAATAAAATGCTTATTCCTCTAAGAATTTTTAAGGGCTTACATTTTTAATCATATTTGTGTTTATATAGTTAAATTTAAGATTTTTTTTTCTCCAGCTGATGAAGAGGTATGTTAGTTAATATTGAAAGTTATATTTTGGCATTTTGAGCCATTTTCATTTTTATTCATTTTATGTTTTCTTATTAATGTGAAGGATGGCATAAAATTAACATTGAAAATATAGTACCTATTATCGAAGCAGACAGTTTTAAAAAATACATAAAGTTTAAGTAGATATTTTTTGATTGTTACATTATTTTTTCCTAGATTATATAAAGCATATATTCAAAATTACTTACACTTTGTCTTTGATAAATATATTTTAAAAAATAAACCTCTGAAACAAATAATATATGTTAAAAAACAAAGAAGATAGTAGGAAGGGAAAAGTGAAGGGGGGAAATCGGAGGGGGAGACGAACCATGAGAGACGATGGACTCTGAGAAACAAACTGAGGGTTCTAGAGGGGAGGGGGGTGGGGGGACGGGTTAGCCTGGTGATGGGTATTAAAGAGGGCACGTATTGAATGGAGCACTGGGTGTTATATGCAAACAATCATGGAACACTACATCAAAAACTAATGATGTAATGTATGGTGATTAACATAACATAATAAAATAAAAATTAAAAAAAATAAACTTTACTAATTGAATTCTGTTACATCATATTTATTACCTTATTTCATTGAAATGACTTTCTCCAGGTTTTGGTTATGAATAGCTAAAGGTGTAATTTGGGTTTCAAGTACTTTATTTTCTTTGATTAACAAAATCAGTCTATATCATTCAGTTTTTGAAGTTGGTAACTTAAGATGAAATCATTGCTAGAAGTATATGAGACGTTTTATAATATTATAATCTTAATGTGCTAAGAAATAATACAGATTTTGGATATATTTGCCTTTATCTTATAATATGATGTGTTTAACTTTCACTAGTGTGGATACTCATTAAATACATGAGTGAGCTATGTATTTTAAATTTATTACTAATTGTCTTCCCAACAGAAACAATCCCAGTATCATCCTCTACAGACTGGCAAGCAGCATTTGGCTTTGGTTCTTCTAAACAACCAGAGGACGATTTGGGTTTTGATCCCTTTGATGTCACTCGAAAAGCCTTAGCAGACCTGATTGAAAAGGAACTGTCAGTCCAAGACCAGCCTTCCCTTTCGCCCACATCTCTTCAGAACTCCTCTTCACACACTACAACGGCCAAAGGTCCGGGCTCTGGATTCCTGCATCCTGCTGCACCGACAAATGCCAACTCTCTCAATAGCACCTTTTCAGTCTTGCCACAGAGGTTCCCTCAATTTCAGCAGCACCGAGCAGTTTATAATTCATTCAGTTTTCCAGGCCAGGCAGCCCGCTATCCTTGGATGGCCTTTCCACGCAATAGCATCATGCACTTGAACCACACAGCAAACCCCACCTCAAATAGTAATTTCTTGGACTTGAATCTCCCGCCACAGCACAACACAGGTCTGGGAGGGATCCCTATAGCAGGTAGGTTCATTTATAGCCTTTGAGAATTTGTGAATAACTCATGCCTTCAGGTTGTTGGGTGGGTAGGGTGGGGATTTTTGAATAACAGAGAACACTTATTATTCTTGGAAATTTCTATGGGGAAAAAAAAGTCCTTATCATAATTTAAAAATTTTTAATTGGATGGATGCCTTGTAATATTGAGCTTTATAAGGATGGTGGAGTATTATACCTAGTTATAACTTGGAAGCATTTTATTTAACAGGGTAGTTACCAAACTTTCGTATGGAATATAAATGCACAAAGAAAAAGAAAAAAATGTGCTCTGAAATTATGGTGCCGGAAAATCCAACATTATGGTACAAATTCCGATTATACATTCTAAAAATAAACTTATTCAAAAAATTTTTTTGAAATGGTAATTAGTGAGAGCATGAGGGATGAAGCCACTCTAACTACTTTTGGCAATTACTTATTTTGACTGATACACACGCGCAAACACACACACAAACTGTGCTCTATGTTAATAAAGTACTTAATATTTGAGAACTCTGATTATTAATGTTTCACAGACATGTGTATACTTTCTGTGAAAAAGCAGTTGTTCAAGGAGAGATACTTTCCCTTTTGGTCTGTCATGTTTTTATTTCTGGAGAAAATACTAGGTTCCTCATAAGTGATACCAGAATACTTCTGGTTTTGTACTGCTGCCCTTGAAGGTTTCAGAATTTTGGGGTTTTAAGGTCCCATGTAACATTTATTAGATCAAGTGACTTCTATATCTAAAGGAATCCTTCTTATTAATAGTTTTTTTTTTTAAATTTACTTAAGTTGGGCTTTAGAGATGACTGGTAAAAGAGAGAGTTTGTTTCTCTCCTGATTCTCTCAAGTAGTATAGAATAGTCCCTCACTGTGTTACATAATTCCTAAAATTTATTGTTATCCCTTGTCATGGCCTTTAAGATATGGCATGGCATAGTCTTATTGTAATAATGTGCTGTTAACTAGCAAGTCGTTTGTTCTCTTGTTTTTAGCAAGGTTGATAGGTGAATTTGAAGAGATCCATCACAGTTCTTTGGCTCTTTGGCCATTTCATTTTCAAGACAAGTAGATGGGTTAAGAGAATATGGTTTGTGACTTTTGATATAGTGAATTTAACAGTTGATACAGTGAAGTTAATTTACATAAGCATGATACACCAGTGTATTGGTTTGTATATCAGTGGGACTCATGATATTTGTTCATTTGATTATGGTAGTTAGTAGGTAATTCAGAGTGACATTTTTCAATCTTCTCCTTCTACGTGATATTCACTTGTGAAACAGTTAAGTACTCAGTTCCTGATACTGCTTTTTTTTCTTCCATTCAAGACAGCATATTAGAGTGTAATTTTGTTTTGTTTTGCTTTAATCATTTAGAAATGTGGCATTTTAATGACTAGTAGTGTATCTTATAACTGATTATAACATTAAGAGTTAAAGTTAAGTTCCCCTAAATATCCTAAACATTTAAAAGTAAAATATTAAACCAGTTATAGTGAATATTTGGGTTCCTGTTTGCCCAATAATGAACTAGGCCATGTGGGTAATGTAAAAGAACTCTAAAATATGGATATTATTTCCAGGTATTTTGCAGTGTAGTTGAAGAAATAAATTTAATACTATGTATGAGAGTGGTAACTATATGATAACTGGAATCTGAGAGATCTCATTTGAGCCTATAATTGTTGGGGAGGCTTCACTGAAGAAGTAGGAATTGATCTGTACTATGGTATCTTGGATTTGGGTTAGTGGGGAAAAGAGAAAGACCTTTTATACTGATGAGAACTCCTGAATAAAGGCGTGGAGGCAGGAATTAGTATGTCATTTCATTAAGAGGCAATAGAACTGCCTTCAGCAATGGGAGGTGCTTATGTATTGTATAAATAGAATGGACAAGAACATGGGGAGCTCTGACAGGGAGGCAACACAGTGTGGAGTTGATATGACAGGAAGAAGGGTGCCTTTGTGGGACTCCAGTTCTTAGCTGTCTTCATTTTATGCTTTTATTTGACTTATTACATGACTATGTTCAGTAAGTTATCTGTTCTTCTGATTTCACAGTTACCATATTGTCCATTAGCACAAAAAAAATAATTTTAACCCAAATATTTCAAACCAGTATATATTGTGAAAATGCCACAGTGGTAATGAATAATTACTGATTTGTGAGTGTAGTTGTCCTCATGTTAGTCATTTGAAATCTTCATCTAAACTAGATACTTTCTGAAAAAAAATGTGGCATTAAATTATGGTCTTATCTTTGTGGGTTTTCTTTTTAACATATACTCAAACATAGAGCATAAAATACTTTTTTTTCCCAGAAATTCTAAGAATGAAGTCACCAACTTGTAAGTTCTGAATCATTGTATTTTGTGGGAGGTTGGGAGAGTTTGTTATTTCAGATTTTCAGTTTTTGACTATGCATACTTGTTTGGTATTTAAATGGTGACTTATGATTAAGCTTATTATTAAATTATTTTTAAGTCTCTGATGACAAGAGAAACTTTAGTTTTAATGAAAAAAATATTTAAAATTGTTATTAAGAGTTACACAGAATACTCTCATGTCCTATAAATATTTGGCAAATATCTCAGGAAGATGAATGTGCTAAACCTCAAAACAGAATAGTTATATAATTGTAGCCAGATCATGTAGGATTTTCAGTAACAATTAGAAATGACAGGAAGTGGAATTCTGGAAAACGATGTACATTTTAACTGTGTCTAATTTGAAGCAATTTAATACCTAGGCAGTATCTGCCTCCCCCACCCCTAGTTGTAAATCAGTTGTACTTGAGTTGAACTATTGAAATAGGTTCAGCTTTGTATCCTGCAGTGAATATCATGGTATCTTACCAGGGTAGCTGTTGGTGAAGTCTTCATAATGGAGAGTACCTACTGTTTCTATGATACCTGCCACTTTAAGATATGCTTAGACAATATTCAACACTGGAAAAGACACATATATTTATATATTCTTTAGATATGTAGAGCAAAACAGGGTCCCTGACCTTTAGGAGCAAATACTCAGGTGTCAGTCACCTATGTATCCTACAGATACCATGTCTATATTTATTATATATTTGTATTTAAATTTTTAGTTTTGGTTTGTTTCAGTTAAATTATTAAAAATTGATATATCTGAAACCTATCATGGGAAGGGCAGTTGCCAGAGGTTTGACAGAAATGCAGCTTCTATTTCTTATGCCTACATGAAAACTTTTTTTTGTTGTTGTTTAAAATTCATTGTTTTCTTAACTAGGTAAAATCTTTTTAGCAGCATTTTCTTGGCTGCACATCCAGTTTGCTAAGCCTAGAAGGACTTTGGGAATAAATATTCTTGGGGAAAAACTTTGATTAGTGGACAGTTATAGTCAGTCCATTCAGATCTCTTTTGCTATTGGAACCATGTGCTTTTGTTTAAGAAGTGACTTTTCCTAAAAAGTGACTTACCTTGTTCAACTCCTTCTTTTAGAAAAAGCAAAGCTGTGTTCCAGAAAGGTTAAATAATTTGTTAAAGGTCAAACATTCAATTAGTAGTAGAATTAGGACAAGTACCCAGATCCCACATTCAAACTGAAATGTTTTTCCACTACAACATTGATGTTCACCTTCACAAATGAAGATCACTGGCATGTGCTTTAACTTGGCTTTCTTCCCATAGTAATTGATTGTTGCTCTCACACACTTGCAGGTCCCTTTTTATCAACAGTATCTATTCATGAGACAATTGGCCCAGCTCAGGGATATGGCCTATAGCTACAAAATAGAATGAAGTTTATCAACTTGATAAAATTTAATCTCTTGTGTAGTCCTTATTAGTACCATGTTCTCACCAAGAACTCTAGTCTAAGATTTCCTCTACACAGCCTCCTTGCTGTGTACTTGGAGTTTATAGAATCTTGGCCAATTTACTGAAAAATTATGAAATAACCTGTTCTAAAGGCTGAGAAGCCTTTCTTCATGTTGTCAGTTAAATCTGTCAGTTAAGTACTTCCAAATGTAATTTTGCAGATTTGTTTTTCAAAGAACTCTCTGCCAAGATGTTTTTATTCCATAATGCTAAAAATTGTTTGGAAAACAAAAAATAGTCTCAGTCTGTAAGCATTGTTGTTTTAAGATATACTTAGAAAAATACTTGAAACTGTTTAGGATTGGATTTTTTTCATGTTTTTGTTTATTCAAATTTTACTCGTGAGAGGACATTTTTCTTTAAATTTTATTACTGAATTAGCTATTTTAACAGTGACTTGATTGGATTTTGAGTCATGTGTGAAACAAGTCACTTTCAGTCCAGTAATTATCAATTATAATTAGGAGAACTGATCTCATTTTGTGTATAGTTCTCTGACCTAGAAGTAGTCATCTCGCTTTCAGTCAATTGGATCGTTGTATTGTTAGCATTTTATTCTTTTCTAATTCCTTCAGAAGTACACAGTGAATTTTCAGATGCTGTATGGTAATTTGCTGAATTAATATTTATATCTTTTTATTTTTTATAAACATAATTTCTACCTCTAAAACATGGATTTGTCATTTTTCCTTTTGAAAACATGTTTTCACATCTGTGAACTTACTTTCAATTTTTTTCACAAAATACTGTTAGGAGGAGTATCTGAATTTAAAAGGGGTCCAATTGGCTTGGAAAAGAATGGCTTTCCTGGTCTTTTTTTTTTTCCTTTTGTCTATTTATAATCCTAAATCTATTAAATTTGTTCTTATATCTGACATAGTATTAAATTGAAGGGTGTGTTTATAGTGTAACTACTTTCTAGGTACTTGATAAGTTTATATTTTAAAATTCATGTCTTGTTTCACACCCGGATTCCAGCCATTAAGCATGTATTTTATATATGTATCAGTATTCCAAATATTGAAATCATTTTTAAAGGGACTGTTAACAAATCTAGTCACCCATAACTAGACCATGACTGACTTTTCCACAGGGGAAGAAGAGGTGAAGGTTTCGACCATGCCACTGTCAGCCTCTTCCCATTCATTACAACAAGGACAGCAGCCTACAAGTCTCCACACTACTGTGGCCTGACAACAGAACTGAGAGGAGAGGATTAGACTCTGGGGTGCTTGCATGGGCAACCGGATTTTTGCATGATTCCTTTCTGATTTTGCATTTAATGTATACACCCAAAAGAGCCAATATAAACGTTCCTCATGCCTACAACTAGTGTGTTACCTCATAGTTGCTAAAGTATTTCTTCATTAGGCCTTTAACACGATTTATTAGCATAATAATTTTGGCATTGTTTCTCATGAGTGATACTATTTTTAACTCACACAAATAAACTTGTAGTACTAATTAAGATCCCAGATGAGATTAGCTAGAATTGTTCTTGTTTTGGCTCTATAATTGAAATTATGCAAAGATAATGGTAGTTCCTTGTTTTCTGATTTGTGAAAAAAAATGGTAATATCCTAATATACTCGTGAAAAAATTGAAAATTAAGATAATGTCTATTGCATTTCTTTGAATACTTGAGAAGAAAGAAAACATATAAAACAAAATTGGTGGTGTTGTTTAATGCTCAGAAGGATGTTGTCAGCAATTATTTTTAGTTGTATGGATTTATAGCCTATATTAATGCATTACATGTTTAGAAACTGTTTTTGTTGTCTCTCATTTGCACATTTGCACTTTCTTTTTGAATGGTTGTTAATTATATATAGAAGGTTAATTATTATAGACTAAATGCAATATCTCTTTTCTAATGCACTGCCTAGTATACCAGGAAATGCCTCAGAAACAGAATTTCAACTTACAGTTGATTTATCAGAAACTTGAATATGGGGTAAACATTGTATGTGAGAAGCAACCATAGTAGTGTAACATTTTTATTGAACAAACGGTAGTTCTGTGAGATATCTGTTTGGAAACTTCGTTGTTTAATAATGAAATGTGATAATAAAGCTATATTACAAGTACCTGGCCAGAATGAGACTAAGGTGGAGGAGAAGAGATTGGGGATCCTCTAAAATTAGGCCATGTAAGATGTCGTAGATAATTTTGATCACAGAGGATAGTGAAGTACTTTGTTAGGACATAATGTGAAGTGATGTTTTTGGATAATACACAATTTTTTGAAATAGTTTTAAAGCTGATAATGAAAGCAAATAAACTGAATTCAATTCCGAGCAGTGGACAAAAGCTGATTCAGAAAACATGACCATATTCTGCCTAAATTAAGCATCTGGGAAGAACGGGGAAAGTCAGCTCTCCTCTTTACGTTTTCAAGAAACAATTGTGATAAAAGATATGCCTTTATTTGTTAAAACTATTAAAAGAGTAATGTGACTACCAAGAAAGAAAGCCTAAGGATTTTAAAATAATAATTATTATTTAAAAACACGTTATTTGTGTTACTTAATATCATGTTGGAGTTTTCGAGGTTACCTCTCTATATGAAGTCTGGTTATTTTCTATTAGCTATAATACAGCAAATGAAATGGCTTTGTCCTCAGGTATAGTGGGTAAACTAAAATCTGTTCTTAGATACCCTTTGATTTGGTTAACTGAGGTGTGTAGGAACACCTAACTAGCCATTTAAATTATTTTTGTAAGATTCTGCGTAAGTGACAATCTCTAATTTCTATTCAAAAGTGACTGTAGGGCAGCATTACAAGAAATTGAGAAAATACAAGTAAAATACTATAGACTTATTAGACGAAAACCTTTTGTCATAGGTTAATTATGGTTTCATTTTTGCTTTAAGAGGCAAAGACATCCACTTAATGTCTCCTGTGGTGCTAAGGTTCCTAGGCTTTGGGCTTCCCATAATGAAGCTTACTAGTATGTAGCTTTCTCCAGCCATCAGTGTAAGCCTTTCATCACCTGGATCTTTTTTCCAAGACAAATGGTTCCTCCCATTTACTTTACTTCTCTGTGTTGAGAGAGAGAGATACACCTGTTATACAAGGCTTCTTTCCTGTGGTTGCTTTCTCTCTCCTTTGTCCTTCCTAGCCAAGGCCAAAAAAACCGTCAGATAGTTTGTCTAGACTTGCTAGAATCCAAAATTCTCTCCCTGCCTGCTTCTCCATCCTTCACACTTTTGACACACACCATACATCAGGAAAATGTGTCTTGGGCACTTAGGCTTCAACTGAATTATTTTCACATTGAAAAGCTAAAGATTATCCTTTAACTTCATAATTTCGAGCCTAGAATAATAAGCCTCACCATTTTGCTTACCTAATATTTCATATAGTGTGGTTTTTTTTTTTAAAGTGAGGTCTTGAAATCATAGTGGTAATTCATTATATTAGCATAGAAGAAATTACACAACACATAAAATACCGCTTCACATAGCAAGTAAATTGATGAAGCCTAATGATGGTAAAGAATGAAAAATTCTACAAAGCTTCAGATTAGTTTTTGTTAAATTCCTGCATGATGAATGTGTCATGCACAAGGGAAGCTTTTTATGCTTTTACATCCTAATTGTAAATGCCAGAGTTCAGAACCCTTTGGGTGTACTAGCGAAGTTACGCGTTTGTAGGTATGTATAGCTGTCTGCTTTTTTCTGGGGAGAAAATCAATAGTTACTAAATTTATAAAGGGCTTGGTGACACCCCACTCCACCTCCCACCCCCGGAAGAGAAGTTAAGAACTGCTACCCTGAAATGGCTTTAGTGCCACTGTAGGAAATAGAGACCTGGAGTGAATGATTTAAGTCATGATGAATGTCAAGTGCCTCTTTTTATTTTCTTAAAGATTCCATTAGAGAATATTTTCTGGTTAATAATATTTTCCTTTTCGTTCTGTCACATTTTGTTTTTCCCGGTGGTGCTTTTGTATACTCTCCGCTTATTACAACAAAATATTAGTCAAATGTTTGAATGCCTATTCTGTATAGTGACCTTTAGTTAGGTCTTGAGGGTTGAATAAAGCATAGATCCCATCATCAAGGATAACAGTCTAATGACAGTTTTATTTCAGATTGTTTCTGTAGGGTCAGCTCTTAATATATTTTAACAAGTACCTCCACAGTGGTCTAGACTCATTTTATTATTCATTGCTCTGACAGTGGCACTAACATAGGGCATTAAATATTAATACCCCAAATTTTAAAATACATGATAATTTGGAGGGAGTGAAAAAAAATCTTAATAGGGAAGACATACATTCACGATTCTGACTTCAGTATCTTAGTTGTGTGTGTATGCTGTCTCTCTTAGTGTTCTGGGTGTTAAATAGAGCTTTCTATATATGTGTTCTTTCAAAGAAAACACTCGAATGCATTGTGTCTGTGCACATTTTTTACTGACATTGTTCCTAGTTGTACGGTGTTCCAAGCACCTTCAGGATTGCCAGAGCTTCTGCTGTAACACAGGTCCATAAGGGAGCTACTCCCACAGAGGCATTGCTTCAGAAAGCCAAGAAAAAGGAATGAATTGCAGGTGCATAGAAATCTTACAAAATGACGACCATTGTGTTATTTGTGCATACATTAAAAACTGGGGGATGTTTTATCCTGTTGAGTTATAAGGTTTTAGATTTTTGTTTATTTGATCTTGAAGTTTTCCCAAATTTGCTTAATTGGTTTTAAGAGATGGATATCATGCAATTAAAAACACAATAACATTTTTAAAAGATTATCTTATAAAGAGGTGATAACCCAAAACAATGATATATATGTTTTTTTCTGTAAAATATGGACCAAAGTTAGTTATCCAGTGTCAAGCTAGTCTTTCTGCCCTTAGTGCTATATCTTTCTCCTCTCAGCCTTTTTTATCTGAATGAGTACCTACTGTATTGTCTCCTTGTGCCGAGTAAATGGCAGTAATATATGCAGGTATTTACACATGAAATGTTTAGCAAACTAATCAAACACTATGCTGATAAAAAAGTGAAAATGGGAATTAAAAAACTAATGTAAGCTGGTTCAGGGAGAGGCTTCATAAAGTCTGGGGCTTTTTTGGAAGGATGGCTGAAATTTAAATGATATAAGGGGGAAATACAATAAAGGGAACAGACTGAACAAAGAACCAGACACAGAGATTGCAGTGGTCTCTAGTGATTAGGAGAGAAGGACAGTAAGAAGATGGACTCGTTTGAGGTATATAGGTCATACAGAAAGGTGGAGTATACAGGTCATACAGAAAGGTGGAATTAGTGTGCAAAAGCCTTAAAAACTGGGAAGGATAGTTTAGTCTTGATAATGGATGTGGTCAGTGATAGAGAACTCTAGGTTCTTTGCTGAAGATGTAACTTGACTGTAGCATTTTAAAAAGATTAATTTGGTGATGTGTTTGCTTGAAATTAGGACCACTTAGGAAACGGTTTTCGGTATGTATATTGCTGGGCGGTACAAATAAGATGGCCTGGATTAGAACAGTAATAGTAGGAATGGAGAAGTTAATGAATTAGAAGCCAGAAAACATGAGATCTAAGAAAAGGCCTAGGTGTCTGGTGAACTTTAAAAATGTAACTTTCATAAAGGTACAGATGGAAATCAGATTCCTAGGATTCAGAGGAAAAGTCAAGGATATGGATGCAGCAACCATTGATTACTTACTTAAGACATTTGGCACTTAAGGGTAAGAGAAAGACAAGATGCTTACCAGAAGGGTGGTAGATCTTAGAATGCATTGCTTTAAGGTAAGGTGGATATTTAAATATTTAAAAGCAGAACATATAGAGCTATTTGAGAAGAAGACATGGACAGTGCTAAAGAGAGGGCAGACTAATCCAGTAGGGTAGCAGATTTCTCTAGTGCTGGGAGGAGATAAGCTCCTGAGATGAGGTTATGGACTTATCTTTGAGAAGAGGGCATTGTTCTTTGTAAGGACAACCAGAAAATCTAGGAAAGAGAAGGTGAGATTAGAGAAAATGAGAACACAGGAAGGGACTCTTAATCAGTTATTATTGAATGCATATTGTGTGAGAATGGGGGTGAAGAGTGGAGTTGGGACTCAGTAAAGAAAGGCGATTAAATAAACCTGTGAGAATAAGCCTAGAAGTACATCAGAAATTCAAGAATTGCTGGGTAAAGATAAAGATCAAATTAAAAAATTTCAGAATCCAAATATGTATGGTTTTGTATGTGTTTCTCTGGTTCTGCACAAAGCATCAAGGATAGACAAAGCAAATATTGAGGGTTTGGTTAGAAGGGGAAAAAGAAAAGGATACAAAGATATTCAAGAAGACAACATTGAAATACCTAATCTTGTGGTCAAGAAGAGTCCACCAAGGCAGAAAAGAACCAATAGTGTGTGTTAAAGGGAGTTCAGTGACTTTAGGTTTTGGTGAGGTCAAAGAACAGGTATAGTGTTGTTAAGGGAATGACAGATTAGGGTACTGTGGTCAGCATGATGACGGTTCAGTGCTGAATGTTGAGTGAGAACCAGAGAAAGGATGGTATATAAATGTGTAACATCAGAGCTGGGGGTTGGAAAGGCAGTTAGCTTTCATAAACTCTACTCACTTACCTTCCAGCCATTTCTTGAGAGTGAGAAAGCAGACTGCAGGAAAGAGGATTGTAGAAAGCATGATACTGCTTGGGGAATCCTGGGTCAGGTTTTTTAAGTTGATGACCCAAAGGAAAACTGCCCCCGTGGGATAAACGTTCCTTCCTCAGCATAGGAAGCACAATGCAGGGGAAGGCTTGGGAAGAACCAGGGATGAAACTGGACAGGTGTAGGTAAGCCCAGTGAGTGTAAGGGATGGTGAACATGTTATTTATGATGTGGAAGGTTTAGAGGCGGTAGGTCTGGTAGTTGAAGAGCCCAAATATGAGCTAGTTTCTCCCAAGCACACATACAAATTGAAAAGAACCAACTCCTCTTACTTAGTTGTACTGGGTCATTGTGCTTTATTTATATAGCACATTGGAATTAAAAGTAGTAGATTGGTGAAGAGTAGGAGAGAGAGAAAGTCAGAATTTTATTACAACAGGTTATAAAAATATTTTGACAGTTTG